GTATATCAACATTCTTATCATAATATTTTGTATTAATTCGTGATGAATGCTTTCTTAATGATCAATGAAATAATTTTGTTTAAATTTTTGTAATGTTTAACTCTTAACTACCATACAGATGCCATGCATGATTTCAACATTGTATATCTATTTAATTTTGTAGTAAAAATTTGATTTTCTATGTTTTTATTACTTTATAGTCTAGGTAAGAATAAAATAGCAACGGATTGTTTATATATAATTAGATTAATGCATTTTTTCAAATCTTATTTGAGGTTTATCATAATCCCAGTATACCAGTCATAACTAAAAGAAACATGTTACTTTCCATTCTAAACTTATCATAAAAAGTAAAATCGTTGAGATCAGTGACGCAACTGCTACATCTTCTACTTATTTTTCTCATTAAGTTCACTTCTACATTAACACTCTGGCAATGGATCTTTCCATTCAAATACAGCGGTAGGTACAAAGCTTGTACGCATCAAGGTCATGGCATCAATCAAAGCTGATTCTTAGGAAAGATTATTAGGAAATAGTATGATCAAAGTGAAAATGGAGCATTACAATATGCCTTTCAATTATATATTTATTATTACAAATGGCAATATAGACCTTTACTTAAAGTTAATTTGTCTTATACACATAACATACATCTATCTTTGTCTCTTAGTTACCCACTATGTCCCGTAGTAAAACATATATCTTTTCTTTAATCCAATCTTTGTTATATGGAGCGTACGTATTTGTAGATTTTTGATAGACAAGACATGATAAATCTGTAAGTTGATCAATAAAATCAAATAATTGACCGACGTCATACGTGATAGTTGGAGTATCTGGGTTCCGCCTCTTTAAATGTTCCTCATAAATCTTGCACACCCCTATGTTAAAGAAACAATTGAATATAATTTCACAAATTCATTACAAATAGCTTTTATAGTACATTATGAATGCATCCGCAACAGCGTCAATGGAATTGAAAGAGTTAATTTCAATTAAAATAATCTGTTATAAAATTATCTGTACTGTCTTAATGCAACCTTCAAAACCGTATATATAATAAAACTTTATACTTTTCGTTATAATAAAACTGTTTTACTAAAAAATAAGAAATGATAAAATATTATATTACCTTCCATACATTCATTAATACTTTCATAATCAGAATATGTCCGTGTTTTAGGTCTATTGCCTGGCTGAACCAGCAATATTGTATGAGACTGAAACCAAAAAAACAAATGTACAGTACATTATTTTCTATTATATTCATTAAAAACTACAAAAGCTGATTTGTTTTACGTATTATTATCTTATCTAATAGAGAAAAATGATTAAATCTTATTCTATTTATAAGAATTTAAAAATATTTATATTAATTAACGTGTATTGTAACTTTTGTTACAAAATTAATATAACATGGAGTTTCCAATGATCAGATTCGTTAGAAAATTTGCGAATGAATAATACGTAAATGTTTAACATGCAATAAAAATAATCAAAACAAAAAGTATGGTTACCATCGCTGCGTTTAGCCGGTGACTATACTACGAAGAATACTCCGTATTTATTTAACTGTACAAAAATTACGTGACCAACGTTTACATGTGTTCCATCAAATTCACGTGCTGTGGGCATCGATATTTGGAATAAGCTAAATTTATATCTTCGCCAGTAAACATCAACAAATAACCATTTCTGCACCCGATTCGAGAAAAATCTAGTGTAGATGGTGTAGGTTGAGAGATTTATTTCTTGTTAGAAATTGTATAAATTAGTAGCGATTAAGAACTGCAAAAAAATTTAAAATTGGATTCTTTAAAAAAAGAAATGTGGAAATTCGAAATATTATAAAAAATGTATTATACGATATCGGCCAGTACATATACTGTAAATACACTCCGAAGATCACGAATCATAGCGAGCAAACATTCTAAAGTAATATAGATGGAGCGCCAGGCAAACGGATGCGCGAATAGAGTGAGACCGCAGGCATGGTAAAGTAA